AGGTGATTGTCTTATATAGGTGGCTGTTTGTACAGGTGATTGTCTTATATAGGTGGCCGTTTGTACAGGTGATTGTCTTATATAGGTGGCCGTTTGTACAGGTGATGTCGTTTGTACAGGTGATTGTCTTATATAGGTGACCGTTTGTACAGGTGATTGTCTTATATAGGTGGCCGTTTGTACAGGTGATTGTCTTATACAGGTGGTCGTTTGTACAGGTGATTGTCTTATATAGGTGACCGTTTGTACAGGCGATTGTCTTATATAGGTGGCCGTTTGTACAGGTGATATCGTTTGTACAGGTGATTGTCTTATATAGGTGGTCGTTTGTACAGGTGATTGTCTTAAATAGATGGCTGTTTGTACAGGTTATGGTCTTCTATAGGTGGCCGTCTGTACAGGTGATTGTCTTATACAGGTGGCCGTTTGTACAGGTGATTGTCTTATATAGGTGGCCGTTTGTACAGGTGATTGTCTTATATAGGTGGCCGTTTGTACAGGTGATTGTCTTATATAGGTGGCCGTTTGTACAGGTGATTGTCTTATATAGGTGGCCGTTTGTACAGGAGATTGTCTTATATAGGTGGCCGTTTGTACAGGTGGTTGTCTTATATAGGTGGCCGCGAGAGCAGGTTCGACTGTAGTTCAAACAGTATGTTTTTGTTTTGGTAAGTGTTTTACTGCGCTCGCAACTGCATAAGGTCATATGAGCGCGCTGGACACACCAAACATTTTCAATTGCTAGGAAATTTTGAATTTTGCCCGGGTGGCGGCCGAAGCCTACTCTTATCAATTTTAGACAACCAAGGGATCTTTAACGTGCGCAACTTGCACATGGGCCCTCCGAGATTTTTTGCCCTTGTCCGAGAAGGCTAGGTGTAGATCTTTCCTACCAGAAGATCAAGGGTGTGGCTAAAAGACAACAGCAAGAAGGAGCCAAGGAGAATCAGTAGAAAGACTGCAGAAAGAGTCAGGAACCCAGAGGAGGGGGCAAAAGAGGGGATGGGGTGGGAACATAGAGTGGAGATGAAAGCAGACGACAGAACATTGCTAGAGAGCAGGAAAGGAGGTGAAAGGAGACAATATGTTAGAGAAGAAAATGTTTCAATCGTTACCCGAATTCGAACCCGGGACCTTTGAATGAGAGGCGAACACCTTAACCTCTAGGCCACGAGAGCCCCCCTATACCTGTGGAAAGCGTCCCGCAACAGGATTACACAATTAAAATCATCACACGAAATAAGGGCCATGAATGACGCGCAAGGGTGGCTTAATCGAAACAAAAAATGTAAATGTGAAGGACCAGTCAATTTTCAGCAACAACTTTATCCGAATTTCCGTTTCCGAAATATTCAATGAGTAGATACGATGTATCCCCGTTTCCGATTTGACCCGAGGAGCAGAAGAGCAAATCAAAGTGATGTAATGCGGCCGTCATACAATCCTCCAAAATCCCTCTTAACATTCTCTGAAGTCCAGTGTCCATTCCACTGACGTCATTGTAGGGCGGTGCGGGGTATTTCTTTTTGTATCTCTCCTCATCTGATCAGGACACAGGTCGGTCTCGGTAATCTGTATCTCGTCTGCTCCAGGCACGATCAGTTGGGTGATTTCCGGAGCGGCTCGGAATGTTTATCGAGGGTGTAGAGTGAGAGAATTTCCCACAATACCCAGGGTACGTACAACTAAAACGTTACAAAACAAAACGAAACAGAATAAAACAAAACAAAACGGGAGGCGCGTAACAGCGATCGAAAATAGAAGTGTTTTTTTGGACACTTTTACAGGGATACAATACCCCCCGGGGCGGTGCCACTGACTGTAGTGTCTTTTGGCCATTCCCAAAGTGGGGACATTTCTCGTTCATGCACAGTAGAAT